TATGATCCATATTTTCATCACTCAGTTAGTTATGCCCTTTGGGTTATTCAATGCTCTTACAACCTTCATGAGATTGATGATCAAAGTACTCAAGCCATCCATTAAAAAAAATTATAGTCTACTTAAATAATATTTTGATCAAACGCATTGATGAAAAATCACATTTTTGGCATCTTCGACTATTTTTGAAACCTTAAGAGCCGAAAATTTTCACATCAATATGAGAAAATATTTTTTCTTTAAAAAAGAAGACATATTCTTAGGGTTCAATATTTCTACTAATGGATTCCAACCTAACCCTGTTAAAGTCAAGCCAAATATGGAGTAACCAATATCAAAATCATTTATCAATGTTAGAAGTTTTTATAGCATGACCGCATTTTATAGGAGGTTTATTAATGATTTAACCCAATCACAGAAATCCTTAAAAAAAGATAAGTTTATATAGATAACTAATACAATCAAAGCCTATGAAAAGATAAAAATCTTCATGCCCACTTCACTTATCCCCTGATTGCTTGACATTGCAAGCCCTTTGAAGTCTTTTGTGATATCTTCATCATTAGCACTCAAGAAAATGCAATGCCACTTATGATAGATAATTATTATGTCGTTATATAATTCCTTAAACATTAGAGACATTGCCTATTACATAATGAATTTAGCTTACATTCTAGTCATCATGCCCTTAAGTTTAAAAATTCTAAAAAAAAATCACAAACATGCAAAATGGGTTGAACTTATCCAAAATTATTCTTTCATTTTGAAACAAAAATTAGGTATGAAGAATAAAACTGTCAATGCCTTATCAAGAGTCATTTTAGTCCTCTCCTCTTTAGAATCATAAAAATCATACTTTTCAAGAATAAAAAATAACTATGCTACATGTCCTGATTTTTATCTTCTTTATCATGACTACCTTGATAAAATTTCTTACTCTTACTGATCTCTTTGTTATTTTTAATGGTTATCATTATCGAGAAAATAAGGCTTATATCCTTATATAATCTCTTCAAAATTTTCTAATAATTGATCTTTATTCTAGGATTATAATAGAACACTTTCATAATGATAGAACTATTAAACTATTAGAATCAATATTTTTTATCACTCCTTAAAAATAGATATTGAACGCATTATTAAACTATTAGAATCAATTTGTTTATGGTTATAATCCAAAAAGAACAATTGATCTGACATATATTCCACATCATTTTATTTTAAGATGCTACATTCACCTTTGAATAAATTTTTTATGAACAACATGAATATATAAAATAAAAAATCTAATTAAATAATAAATATGTAAATGCAATAAATTCTAAAAGTTCTTCTAAAGAATATGACGAAAGTGGTAATGTCTGAGTATGAATTCCCCCAAAGTGTTATCTTGCCAAATATAGTGAGCTTTATGCTAGAGCTTGTGGCCTATTCAAAATTCTTTAAAAACTTGGAGCAAATGTTCATGCACATAAATTATGTTTTTAATATTGAGGCTATACTATCTTAGAAGGGAATAATTAAGTCTGAAGATTTGTAAGATAATCATATTATAGGAGACAAATTTAATTTTACAGGTTCCTCATACACCATAATTCTTGGATATTGATAGCATTATTTTAGAAGAACTTCTCTCACATATACGCATATCACCCAAAGTCTTAGTTAGGAGGAAAGACTAATCTCCTTCTAAGAATACTTGGATGACCAAAGAAAATATAGAGAATCTTGCCCTAGGTCTTATTGATGAGTACATGAACTTTGCCTATACAAAACAAAGTCCTTTGAGGTCAGGTAGGGTTGATGCAACACCAAGACAAAGGCCAATGATAATATCAAAAAATAAGACTCTATATCAAGATTTTAGTCATTCATCATGCCTAACTTTCCATGTAAGCTCATAGACTATTTATAATCTCCTTAAAATCATCAAAAAGTAATTAAGAAGCTTAATTTAAAGCCCTTGTATGAGTAGGTGGGTTATACCTATCAAGGAGATAAAAATCTTCATAAGCTGCTTATTTCAGAACCACTCTACTTACATTATTTGGCTAATCCCAATTTTCATGCATTTTGAAGAATTTAAATTTTATTTTATTTCTCTTATTTTCTTTCCCTTTGTATTAGGATAAATTGTTAATTCATATAAGAGTATTTAATTGGCTCATAGTACTTTCTAAAGTTATTTAGGATTGAAAAAGGCCTATGAATAGTATCTCATTTTGTACATTTTGAATAAGAATTATTTTTATTTGTACAAATTTCGTATGAAAAAGCTTGGCAGCTACTCTACTCTCTGATGAAGCTTAGTGGTTAATCCTCTAGGACTTTAGTGAGTCTCTAGTTATCTTTTCTACTCTTTCCCAACAGAATTTCACCTCCTCTATATAGCCTCAACACGAACTTTTCTCAAACCCGAAATACAACTAAACTCTTAAAAACTCTCCCAAATATTCCCTCACATCCTTCTTAATCCTCCAAGGTTCAATTCTCCAATAACCCTAAAATACTTTAGCCAAAATCCCAATATTTCTTGTTGTGAGCAATAAGATTACAAATTTCATAACTCCTCAATCACTAATCTAAAATCCATAAAAACACTACTATTAGCTTTCTAACATCTCAAACCTTTAATCTGAGGCTCATCTCCACTTCTCCCAGAAAAACTTAACCATTTGATCGCTTCAAAATTTCAACATCAAATCTTTATAAATTTTGAATATTTATTTCACCACCATACAAATAACCCGTCCACCACCACCCAAAGAGGACACTAATCAAGTTTCTTCTTTCACTATTAAAAGCATATAGACAGCACTTAAGGGCACTCACCCCAAGAGAACTCGCTCTTTCATAATAGCAGTCCTCAATCAGCGCCACCCACCTATCGCAACCCTCTCCGATCAAACTAGAGGAAGCACGCACCTATGAAGCCCATCACCACGACTTCATGGATTGAACTCATCCCTAACTCACATCCACTTCCACCCAGGGGACTCGCCCCTCATTATGAGTGACTCATCTCTTGTTCCTAAAGACTCGCCTCTTCTTATAAGAACTTTCCCTCACCGTCTCACCTTATGTACCAAGTCCCAAAGACTCGCTTAAGGTACTCACTCTCGAAGACTCGCCCAAAGTATTCACTTGAGAGGAGGGGACCACGCCAGAGATAGGAGTCCATATGTTCATCATTCAGCCGATTCACATGTATGTATCAATCTGTATTAATCATATCATGTTCTGATTTTTCTAGTTATTCTATGTGCAACTTTTCATGTAATCCTATTAATCTTAAAAATAAAAGGTTAAGAGGAAGATTTTTAAATTTATGTTGGGATGATTACTTATAAAGATGTTTGAGCATTCTAATTATTCTCTGTACTCACAAACTTCCATCACTTGGTTCTCTAACTCTAACCCGCCGATGATCTATTAATAGGGTTGGGTAGTATCCATGAATAAATTTGTATCCAATAACATACATTGAATAAGAGAGAATCATTTCACATTCTTGTATTAAATATGCCTTCCTTCTATATTCAAGTGAATTATATTAATAGATGTATAGTAATTTGATGACTTTTCTTAACAGCTAATCAGGCTAACCACATCACATATTCTCATTCACTTGTTACTGGGTGAAGTTAAAAATATTTAATACTGGAGGCAAATTAATTAAGCCAGAAGGCAAAAAGGACAACAAACATTTCATAGACGAATGATTACAGAACAAAAGAAAAAGTAAACAAAACATATTGATGAATATAAGGCCCAATTTATGTGCCTGAAGTTAGAATTAAAGTTTGACAAATAATCAAATATGTTAGTATTCAACAGCTTTAAGCTGCCCAAACCCTCATGAGACTTCTTCAAAAGTAATGCTTTTGATATCACACACAACATTGTGAAAATGAAAATTAAAATCCAGCCCTATCTTGTTAAAAGTCAAGAAGGCCAAGCAAAGCTTCTTTGTGGCTGAATGGTCAAGTCGGAGAAAGATGTAAAGGAGGTGGATCACACAAAGCCCTTACCTTTGAAGAAAGTAAAGAGATAAAAGAAGAAAGCGGTGTGAGAAAGAAAATCCTAAGTAATTCCTTTTATTTCCTCACTAACTCTTTTTCTATCTTTAACTTTCGGACTATATAAATTCATGAATTTTGTAAGATCCACTGAATACTTTATCGTACTATTTTGTATGAGAACTAAAAGGATCTCAGATCTTTAATTTGTTTCCTCTTCTACTGTTAATGGCTTAGAACTAAAGCAGCTTCATTCGGAAAAACTGCCCCATGCTTCCAAATGTTTCAAAACCCTAAACCAATCCCATACCAAGAAATACCTAAGAAATTAAAGCATAAATTCGATCAAAACCTGGGCAAATTATTGGGTCAGGTGACCGAACGCAGAGATAGGTTCGGATAATAATAAAATATTATTTTAAAATTAGCGCAACTAAAGCGTAACTAAAGCGCAACCAAAGCGCAACTAAAGCGCAACCAAAGCGCAACTAAAGCGCAAGTCAAAAAGCGCAACTAAAGCGCAAGGTGACGCGGCAAATTTTTATTGGCTGTCCGAACTTATCTTTTGGCTCCGGTCACCTGACCCAATAATTTGCCCAAAAGGCACCTGAACCAAAACTGGATTGGGACACAAATTTCCAGCTTTATCACCCCGGCCTTGGATTAAAAGCTCCTGTCTCTGAAAAATGAAGTTCAGAGGCCAAATTTCTCTTACGCAACCAAACAGGGGAAGAATATAAGTGAAACTAAAAACTTGCTCCAAGTCCTAGAACTCCTTACAAAGAGGAATTACTATTCACATTATTCAACAAGGATTCAGCAAAACAGCGGCAGCTGAGAAGGAAGAATCAAACTTGCAAAGATTTCTTCCATTAAAGATGCTAAAAGTAGCAAACTGAAAACTAATAGAGAAAAAAGAACCTTAGATCCGCAAGACATAGATCAATTGAAAACCGTGCAAGCAAAGATTAGGGTTTCTACCCGCAGGGAGGATGCGAAGCTTAAAAATCAATATCGAAGAAAGCCAGTAATTGCAAGACAATGCTCCTGTACCTCCTGTACTTCCCAGCTAGCCTCCACTCTATATCAAAAACTAAATGGTGGAGAATGAGACTCCAATAGAATTGGCCTGCTGCCAAATAGTGAAATTATAGAGATGAACCCCCACAACGACTGCCCCCATTATCATTAATAACTACAAAACTGCCATTTTTTTTTCTTCCTGCTAGGAGTCCAATGTTGACCAATCAGTCAAAAGGAGACCATTTGCCGACTTCAAGCTTTTGGGCAGCACCAGGCCACCAGCTAGAAGAGGAATATCATTAAAAAAAAAAACGTGTCTGTCATCCATTTTGAAAGAAAGACAAAAAATAAAAAAATAATTTGTCGCCTTCGATCTGTTTTTCTTTCTTCCAGTGATTTTGGTTGGTTTATACTTCGTCCATGATTGCTGTTAGCCACAAAGAAGAAGATATTTTTTTAGAAATATGCAAATAATATGATATATGCAAAAAAAAAGCTGATATTATATTTTTATGGTATCTATCATAATAATTAGTTAAAGCTAAATTAAAATTTTGATTGTTCAATATAATATGGTTTAAAAGTAAAGAAAAGTGATTTTTTTTTAAATTTCAGTGATTTTTTCATTTTATGTCGTTGTATATTTTTCTTTTTATTAATTTTCAGCTGTTTGTGTGAATAAAGGCAAAATTTTTAGATGAAAATATATATATATTTAATTATTAAATGAACGAGTAAAAATAAAAATTAGAAAAATAGATCAAGTTGCCAAACAGCCACTTGACTAAAATTAGTATTTTATTATTTATACTTAATAAATTTATAAAATACTCTATTTAAATTTATAATAATGTTGTATTAGAATATCATAGAAGTTGTGGTCTTAATCTAACATATTTCCTCCAGGGGAATATAAGATGGAAGATCTGATAAAAGAGAATTGGAGAAGCATTGCCTATTGGATTCGGGTGGTGAGGATCCTTAAAACTTGCTGTAAGGTTATAAATAAAATTTGATCCAGGTATTTGTATTTTGGGGACATTTACAAAAGAAAACTACACATGATTTCGTGGAAGGAGACTTGTAAACCTACAATGTTGGGAGGGCTCGGTTTACCTTCTATTGATTCTTTATATCATGCTTTTGGTTGCTCTATAATTTGGAGATTCTATAATGCTGAGAGCTTTCTTTTTCTCTTGGTGGAGAGCTAAGCATATATCTTTTTGGTATCATCGCAACAGTCATGCTTCTGCTTATTGGAATTTCCTTTGTGAATTAGCCATGGAAATATAAGACTGATTGAGCTTCAGAATTAAGGATAATTGTGCCTTATCCTTCTACTGGGATCCTTGGTGTTTTGGTAAAATTGTTGCTGAGAGGTTATTTGATTCTTATTCCAATTTTAATTTCACTGCCTCCTCACACCTAACCGTAAATAGTTTTTTTATTAGCAACAACTAGAGCTTGCCTTTAGATTTTCCTACTCAAATTGCGGATATGATAACCTCTGTGCCTTATTGTCTGACGGGTGGTAACTGTCTTTGGCTTAATTTTGCAAACCCAAAATTATGTACCTTCGTTGGGCATTACTACTTGAATTTCAATGTTGTTTCTTGGCATAATTTTGTTTGGCACAAACACTATACCTTGCGCCACTCTATCTTCACTTGGATGGCTTCTAAAAATGGCCTAAAAACTGCAGACTCTTCGCTCTCGAGAGGCATTCAGGTGCCTTCTACTTGTGCCTTTTGTTCTAATGCTAGAGAAACTCAAAATCATCTGTTTTTTGAATGTGATTACACCTTCAGTATCCTCAAGAATATTTTTCCTGCTCTGGGAAATATGTTCTCGAGGCCTACCCTACAACAAACATTTAACTGCATTGATAAAAAGAATATTGAAAAAAACAGGAAAATTTACTATTTTCTGCTCCTATGCGCTACCGTCTACTATATATGGAGGGCCAGTAGGGGTGTCAATTTTTGACACGACACGAAACACGACCCGAACCCGACCTGAAAAAATCCGGGTTCGGGTTGAAGAAATCAACCCGTTTTAAAAATCGGGTCGGGTTCGGGTTGACACGGAAACACGAAATTGACCCGAAAGTGACACGAAAACTCATATTTGACCCGAAAATCCGAGTTTGACCCGTTTTTGACCCAATTTTGACCTGAAAACGAAGATTGACCCGATTTTTTACCCGAAAACTTGCAATTTTGGGTCAATTTCGGGTCATTCGTGTCGGGTCGGGTTGACCCGGACTCGAATCGGGTCGGATTCGGGTTGACCCGAACAGTGCCGGGTCAATTCCGGGTTCGACCCGAACCCGACCCGTTGACCTGATTTGACACCCCTAAGGGCCAGAAATGACAGAGTTTTTGGAAATTCAATTGACTGCCAAGCGACTATTATCACCAAGATTAAAAGGGGTTTCTTTATGAAAAATCACAAGCGGAAATGCTTCCATAACCTATTCAATTGATCATTTGTTGTTTTTGTGGCTTTCGGTTTGCCAGATTTCATGTTGACCCTCCGGTTTCTTTTGACTTCCCTGGATGGCCTCATGGCAACTGGGAATTAGTTTTGAAGGACGATGATGACAGCAAATTCACTCAGTTCCCCTCGGACGGTCTTCTTCGGCAACCAGGGGAACTATTATCATCTCTTTTGATGAATTTTGATGCCTTCGAGATTTTCAGGAATTTGCACCCTAAGTCCTTTTGTTTTTGTTGTATTATTTTTCTTTTTTTATGCTTCATTTTGTTCAACAGCCTAGGCTGATAGGATTTTGTCATTTCCTATATGTTTTTTGTGTGTGCATCTGACTTTCATTTACTTTGTACGTCTTTCATTTTTCAATGATATGGGCTAAGGCCCCAAATATTCCCAAAAAAAAGAATTGGAGAAGCAAGAGAGAGAGAGAGAGAGAGAGAGAGAGAGAGAGAGAGAGAGAGAGAGAGAGGACAACATGTCACATGGCTGTCAAGTCGGCATCCACCTGACGACTTGAACTGTTTTGCTAATTTTTTTTATATAATAGTGTTTTGACAAACTCACACACACGTCACATGTACAAGACTAGAACTCAAGACCCCTTTATTGGAACTGATAGCCACAACTCTAGACCAACAAATCAAGAGAAGCTACGTACTTTCTTCCTCTATAATATTTAAATTTATAATTAATCTTATCTTTAAATTTTGAGACGAATAAATTGGCCCACTCATTAAAAGAAATAGTTCTTTTTTTACGGTTAGGGGATTCGAGCCCGGATGAGATGGGTGGAATTTCTTCTGTTGACCATTCGGCTACAAACCCGATCTCAAGAAATAGTTATTTGTTAAATAGAATAAATTGAAGTCACCTATTTTAAGAAAGATTGAAAAATAAAACTTTTCAATCTTTCATCCCTTTCCTTCACCCATTATCTCTGTTACTTTTGTGGCGTAGATTTCATATGCTTACTGATTGTCCTGATCTATTGTGTCGTTGGGCTGGGCAAATTATTTTGTGTGGAGTTCGGATGTCATATGGAGACCAATAAAAATGTGCCACATCACCCAAAAAATGCAACGCGCTCGGTACCGAGCTCAGTACCGACTCAGTACCGCTCGGCACCAAACATAACCAGACGGTGAAGAATGAATAGAAACAGCCAAGCACATAGGACAACTCTCAGAAAGGAGAAAGGGAAAAACTATTTTCATTTTGCAAAGCAATGTACAGGACTATTTATAGACATGCATACAGGTTAAAAACAAGAAGTTGGCGTGTCAAGTGACTGCCATGTTTACACGTAAGATATAACAGCAGGTCTTGCTTACATCCCCCTTCAAACTAATGATGAGCGACAGCAGTTAATTTGCTTGATAAACTTTTGAACCGAAGGATGAGAAGAGACTTGGTGAAGATGTCAGCCATCTGATCATTGGTGCAAATGTGATGGACGGAGAGATGCTTTGCTTGTATGCTATCTCGAATGAAGTGGCAGTCTATGTCAATGTGCTTTGTGCGGGCAAGATATATTGGATTATTTGCTAGTGCGATTGCCGATGTGTTGTCGCAGTATATGGTGGTAGGATTTATTTGAGGCATTTGGAAGTCCTCCAGCAGTCTTCGAAGCCAAATGACTTATGATGCTTTTGTCGCAAGTGATCTGTACTGAGCTTTAATTGATGATCGAGCAACAATATTTTGCTTTTTCACCTGCCAAGAGATAAGAGATTTTCCCAAAAAAATTACAAAAACCTGAGATGGATCGATCGTCGTCGGCATTGCTAACCTAATTAGCATCCAAGAAGCCTTGTAGCTTGAGTTGGTCTTGGTATAGCAGAAGGCCAACGTTGGTGGTTCCGTGTATGTAACGTAGTAAATGTCTAAGGCCTTCGAAATATGTGTTGAGTGGGTGATGCATGTATTGGCTTAGATTATGAAGGTAAATTGAATGTCGGGTCGAGTCGAAGTAAGATATTGTAAGGATCCGAGTAGGTGTCGGTATAGTTGAGGATTGGAAAATTTGTCCTGTGATTGAGCATTAAGGACGGTTTTGCATGAGCTAGGGGAAGAGACATGTTTAGCATTTTGCATGCCTGCTCTTTCTAAAATTCATTGGGCATAGTTTTGTTGATGCAAGATAACTCCATTTTTTATGGGGACGGATAGAATGCCCAAGAATTGAGCTAAGGGCCGAGATTACGCATTTGGAAGCGAGCATGAAGATTGGATAGGAGACGATTGATTTCAGATGTGGAGTTGTCGGTTAGGAGAATATCATCAATGTAGGTAAGAATGTACATGCGAATGAGCCATTTTTATACGTAAGTAATGATGGGTTAGAAGCACTAAGTTTAAATCCAAACTGACTAAGATGATTTGATAGAGTGGCATACCATTCACGGGGAGACTGCTTTAGCCCGTTTAAAGCTTTCTTTTACCTGCAAACATGATTAGGATGAAGAGAATCTTGAAAACCTTGAGGCTGCTGCATGTAAACCGTGTCAGATATGTTACCATGTAAAAAAGTATTAGAAATGTCTAATTGATGAATATAATGTAAAGCAATAAGAATGAGAACACGAACTGTGGGCATTTTAGCGACGGGACTAAAAGTTTCTGTGTAATCTAACCCATGTTCTTGATTGAAATCTTTTGCAACCAATCTAGATTTATATTT